CGCTGCCGTGCCTTCGGCCGCCTGCGACGCCTGCGCCTGCGCCTGCGACGCCACCGCCGCCCTCGTTCGCCGTTGACTGACGCCGCCGCCGCCGTCGCCACCGCCGCGGGAGCTGGAGGCAGAGGCGGAGTGGGGAGAGGAGGAGGGGGGGGAGGGGGAGGAGGAGGAGGAGGAGGAGGAGGAGGAGGGAGGAGGAGGAGGAGGAGGAGGAGGAGGGAGGAGGAGGAGGAGGAGGAGGAGGAGGAGGGGGAGGAGGGGAGGGCGAGGAGGAAGACGAGAAGAGGGCGGAGGTGGAGACAGAGGAGGAGGAGGAGGGGAAAAAAGGGGGAGGAGGAGGAGGAGGAGGAGGAGACAGAGGATGAGGAGGAGGAGAAGGAGGAGGAGAGGAGGAGGAGGAGACGAGGAGAGGAGGAAGAGGAGGAGGAGGGCAAGAGGAGGAGGAGGAGGAGGAGGGAGGAGGAGGAGGAGGAGGAGGAGGAGGAGGACGAGGAGGAGGAGGATTAGGAGGAGGAGCGCGCACCCACTAGCGCGGCGGGCCGTCTGTCTCGGCGCGCCGCCCGAGCGCCCGACAACGAGCCGAGCGCGCGGGAACCCCGCTGGCACCCGCGGCCGTCGGCGACGAGGGCACCCCCCCCGACGGACCAGGGCGAGCTGCCCAGTCGCTGGCCTCCGAGGAGGAAGCCATGACCAGACAACGCACCGCCAGACACGGCGACGGCGACCCCCAAGGGCCCCGCCACCCGCCGCGGCAGGGCGGGCGAGGGCCCAGGCGGGCCCCACCCACCCGCACTAGGGGAACCAAGGACGGTTCCCGAAGTGCCCCGAGGGCCCGAAAGACCGCAGTTTTCCGAGCCGCTCCAGCACACGGCACGGCCCGCACCTAGTCGGCCAGCTCCGCGCCGCGAGCTACCGTGCCCATGATCGAGGACATGCCGAAGACGAGGACGAGGGGGCCCCGGACGCCGCCGCAGCCGCCGCCCCGGCCTCGAACGGCTCCCTCATGAGGCACCGCCGCGGGCTCCGCCAGCGAGGGCACGGTCCCGCTGGGCGCGAACGGCCGCGGCGAGGGCGGCGGCGAGCTCTGGCGAAAGCCCGTGCGCGAGGGCGATCGCCGCGAAGGGGGCCGCCTCGGAGGGCTCCGCCGCGGCGCCAGCCGCCAGGGAGCCAGCGCCATCGCAGGCCGCCGCCGCGCCAGCATCGCCACGGCCAGGGCGTGCTGGGCGGCCACCGTCGGCCCACTCGTCGTCCAGCTCCTCCTCCACCTGCGTAGTGTCCAGCACCATGAGAGGAAGACCAGCAGCAGCAACATCATGACGTGCAGCGGCAGGTGCGGGGCGAGGGCGGCGGCGCCGCCGCCTCGGCCCGCGGCCGACGCCAGCCGCTTCCGCCGCCATGGGTGCGGCCAGTCTCTCTCCAGGGCGGGCGCTCGCCTCGTCGGCCGCCGCGCCAGGCGCGGCGCGGCCCGCGGCAGCCGCCCCGCGGCCCCCTCGCCCTCGTCGCCGCCGCCTCGGGGGAGGCGCGGCGTCGGGCGCGGGCGCGGGCGGCGACGTGGCGGAGCCGCGAAGGCTCGCCACCGCCGCGCGGCAAAGTCCCTCGGCGGCACGCAGGAGGCGGGATGCCTCCGCTGTGCGCCGCGAGACGGATGAGGAGGAGGATCACAGAAAGCACAAACACAAAATGAATCAGCGGTGCTGCAATCCACTCTCCCGTCACAAGTTCCCTCCCGAAGGTCCACGCAAGCCTTCCTGTCCACTGCAAGAAGCGCCCCCCTGAAAGATGAGCACCCTGTGGGCCTCTCGATCAGGCGAGAGGTCCGTTTTGAAATGGAGCTCTCTGCATCCTGTTCGCAAATTATAACAGACAGGGGTGCGAACAACTATGATCAGATGGCGAAGCTGTATTGTCCGCGACATATCCGTTTTAAGTCGAAGCCACACCACATCGCGTAACTGTTGCACATGCCTTATACCTATTGTCATGAGCAACGTTGGAGCAATCTCGAACGAGAGACATTCTATACAACGGAACCATCCTCCATCTGGGCAGCTGTTGCACATGTCTAGGCTTCTGATCGTTCATTGTGAGGAAAACTCGATCGATCGCCCCACTCTGGAAAGAAGCCACCCTCCATCCGCCTAACTGTTGCAACACATCGAGACCGGTGCTAAGGCGAGTCCCATGTTGAAAGGAACCGCCCTCCATCCTTGTAACGAATGGAAATCCAAAGCCTCATGTTCCTAAGCTGCTGGAAGTCTCAGGCAAACGCCCAGCCCGCCCCAACACGCCTGGTAGTGCGACAGAGTGAAGGCCTTTATGAGGAAGATGGATGGTGAAGAGGGAAGCGGACGGAGGAAGAGAAGTGAGGACAGGGAGGCGAGAGGATGGATGAAAAGGAGGATGAGGAGGGACGGGGGGAGGAAGAGAACGTGGGGGATTTCAGGGACCCATCTTCCTTCCCAGGAGGTCCCCCTACTCCACCTTCCTTCTCCACCTTGTCCTACTCCACCTCCGCCAACTCTCCCTCCTCCTCCTCCTCCTCCTCCTCCTCCTCCTCCTCCTCGTTCGCATCGTCCCTCCTCATTCTCATGAACCCTCCTCCTCCTCCTCCTCCTCCTCCTCCTCCTTCCCATCTTACTTCGGAGACGGGAGGAGAAGTGGGGAGGGAGAAGAGGAGGGGATGGAGGTGGAGGAAGTGAAGGGGGGGTACATGTGGCCGATGAGGCGGGAGGAGGCAGGCGAACAGACGGGCGGCAATATGCCCTGTGCGAGACAAATGCACGACGCAGTCGCGCCGCGCTCCGCCTCCACCGCCTGGACCTCCTCCCCTTCCTCCTCCGCAGGCTGCACCTCCCTCCTCAGCCTCTTGATCCTCCCTCCGACGCGACCACCGCCGACACCGTCACGGCCGCCGCCGCCACCGCCGCCATCACCGCCACCGCCGCCACCGCCGCCCCCGCCGCCCCCGCCGCCGCCCCCGTTGCCACCGTCGCCGCCGCGCCGACCCCCCCGCCGCCGCCGCCGCCCCCGCCAGCGGCCCGCCGGACGCCGCGCCCCCGCCGCCCTGGGCCGCCGTGGGCCGCCGCCCACCGCGGCCAGGCCGCGCCCCCGGCCGCCGCTTTTCCCTGCCGCACCCGTGCACCGGTCCGTGCAGACGCCGGCCGCTGAGACAACTGGGCCCCCCCCGGCCGGGGGCCCCTCCCGCGCGCGCGGCGCGGCGGAGGCCCCGCGCGCGGGCCGGGAGGAGGGCGCGAAGCGCGCGCCGCGGGGCCGCACCCAGACCATTGCCCGACGGAGGCCGCGGGCTCGATCTCGGGGCACACGTGGAAGCATGGAGGTGGGCAAGAAGACCAAGCCAGGACGAGGGTGACATCGGGTGAGGATGGATCGGAGATCTACGGGAGCCGGCGGCTCTGGAGGATGCATCGGGCGCCGCGACCGTCCCAGACGTTGCCGAACGCTCTGAGAGCATTCCGGCACGCTCTGGAACAGAGTGTCCCTCGTCCTAGCCCCGTCCTAGGCAAGCAAGCAAGCATGCAATCAAATTGTGCACTGGGGTCTGGTAGCTTTTATACTACTTCACCCGTGGAGGTCCCCAGTTCTGGAATGGCACTGGGGGCCTCCAGAGGCTGAGGCTTCCACGCAGCCAAGCACTCCCAACGAAGCGTAGCATTGATCCTCCTCCTGCTCAAGACGAAAGCGTGGACCCAAGACAGTAAACTCGTGCAATTTGGCTGTGTACGCTATGTGGTGCACGCTAAAGTATGTGCTGCAAGCTGCGCGCGCTGCAGCCAATGCAGGTGCAGTGCATGTGCAGTGCATATGCAGTGCAAGCCATGCGTGGTGCAAGCTGTGCGGCAAACGCCATGTGGGCGAGCAAACACGTGGCGCAAGCTCGACCGTGTAAGCTATGTGGGCAGTGCAGCGCAAGCAGCACGCGGCGCCCACGGCCGCCCACCAGGCGAAACCGCGCCACGCCCAGCCAGCGCACGGGGCGGCGCCCGCGAGGCGCCCACGGCCGCCCACCGGGGCGAAACCGCGCCACGCCCAGCCAGGGCACGGGGCGGCGCGCCCGCGAGGCGCCCACGGCCGCCCACCGGGGCGACACCGCGCCACGCCCAGCCAGGGCACGGGGCGGCGCCCGCGAGGCGCCCCCTGCGGCCCTCATGGCCAAATTCCGCCACACCCCTCCAACCCCTTGAGTGAAGGCACTGTTCGGTGACAAGAGCGATCGGCACTGCTCCCTGCTCCCCGCTCCCCCGGCGCACGAAGCGCGCCAGGGACGGCGCTAGAGGCGCCGCCAAGGGGTCAAGGAGCACAGGGAGGATGCTGAGACCAGGGATGAGCAGGAGGAGGGAAGGAGGAGGATGAGAGGGGAAGGGAGGAGGAGGAGGAAAGGAGGAGGAGGAGGAGGAGGAGGAGGAGGAGGAGGAGGAGGAGGAGGAGGAGCGAAAATGGGAAAAGGAGGGGCATCAGGTGGAGGAGGATGAGTAGCGGGGAAGCCCAGGTGGGACGAGGAGGATGAGGATTTTAGGCACCAGTGAATCACCAACCTGCCTTCAGCACCGAGCACACCGAGGAGATGGGCCGAAGGAGGGAGGAGAGACGAGGAAGGGAGGACGAGTAAGGAGAGGAGGAGGAGGAGGAGGAGGAGGAGGAGGAGGTGGAGGTGGTAGTGGTGGAGCAGAGGAGGAGGAGGAGGAGGAAGAAGGAGGCGAGGGAGGAGGAGGGAGGAGGGAGAGAGGGGGAAGGAACGGGAGAGGCGGGCTTCCGCCAGGGCCGCCTCCTCCGGCCGCCCCCCCCCCCCGGCGCCCGACCGCCCTCACCGGCCGCCGCCGCCCGAGAAGCCGCCGCCCCCGCCGCCGCCCTGGCAGCCGCCGCCGCCGTGGAAGCCGCCGCCGCCGCCCTTGGGGCGGCCCTTGGAGCCGCCCTTGCCCCGGCCCTTGCCCCGGCCCTTGCCCTTGCCGCCAGGGCGACTGTGCCTGACGAGGGCCTGGAGCTCCGGCGGCACCTTCGGGCTTCTGCTGCTGGCGGCTCCTCATGCCTCCACGTGATGGCGGCAGCCCTGGAAATCCCTCCTCCCTCCCTCCTCTCTCCTTTTCTCCCTCCCTTTCTCCTCTCCCCCTCCCCTTAGCCCATCTTCCGCCGTATCATCGTCCTCATCGCGTAACTGCTCTGCTCCCCCTTCGACTCGTCTCCCTCCTCTGTGCCTCATGCCTCAATAGGTCCTCCAGGAGGCCCGTCGCGTGGGACTGCGGATTTCTAGAAACCTCGAACCTCGATCCTCGAAACTCGATCCTCGAACCTCCATCCTCAATCCACGATTGCCGAACCTTGCACTTCGAACCTCGAACCTCGATCCTCAGTCTTCGATGCTCGGTCTTCGACCCTCGAACCTTCACCTTAAAACGGACAATCAGAGGCAGCAGCGTGGACTGGGGATTCCCCGCTGCAATGTCCTGGCGGAGAACCGCGGGGAATGCCCGGAAACCGACAGCAGGACATTCACCTCCACGCCCGAATCCTCGTACACGTTCTCCCTCTCCAACTCCTCCTCATCCTCCTCGTCCTCATCCTTCCCATTTTGCTGATGGTGTGCTGCCACCGCCTTCTGCGCCCCCCGCCTACACGGCGTCTTCCTCCTCATCGGCCTCTTCCTCCTCCTCCTCCTCCTCCTCCTCCTCCTCCTCCTCCTCCTCCTCCTCCTCCTCCTCCTCATGGTTCCTGGACCTCCATCTTCCCATCGCGCCGCTGGTCGTCCTCCACCAGTAGCATCTGCTCCTGCACCTCCTCAAGCACCCCCACCCATGCATCCCCCTACCCATCATCCTCCTCCTCCTGGCCAGCCTGCCCGCCCTCCTCGTCCTCCTCCTCCTCCTCCTCCCTCGTCCTCCTCGTCGTCTCCTCCTCCTCCCTCCCTCTCCTCCTCATCGTCCTTCTTCTCCTCATCGTCCCCATGCTCCTGCATCACACCATCCTTCTCCTTCGCCTCCCTGCTCCTCTCCTCTCCTCTCCTCCTCCTCCTCCTCCCTCCTCCTCCTCCTCCTCCTCCTGCTCCTCCTACTCGCTCGTCTTCATGGCCCCCCTCCCTGCCCCCGCCCTATCGTTCTCCTTTTGTGCCTCCTCCTCCTACTCCTTCTTCTCCTCCTCCTTCTCCTCCTCCTCCTAATCCTCCTGCTCCTCCTCGCCCTCCTCCACTTCCACCTCTTCCCCCTCCCCTCCACCTCCCCCTCCCACTCCTGCTCAGAGTCCTCTTCGTCCTCCCCGTCTCTCCCGCGCAGCCCAAGAAAGCTTCAGGGCGGGCGCCTCGGACGCGCGGTGGGGGCGCCGAGCACGCGCCGGCGACGGGCGGTTGCGGATGCGCGCGCCCGCGGCCGGGCTGAAACGTATCGCCTGGTTGCGGTTGCGGTTGTGAAGGCGGGTTGAAATGCGCCGCCCTTGTGCGCGGGCGGAATGACATGTATCGCTTGGTTGCGGTTGCGGTTGCGGTTGCGCGGGCGGGTTGAACTGTGTCGCCGGGTTGCGGTTGCGGTTGCGGTTGCGCGGGCGGGTTGAAATATGCCGCCTGGTTGCTGTTGCGGTTGCGCGCTCGGGCGGGTTTAAATGTGTCGCTTGGTTGCGGTTGCGGTTGCGCGGGCGGGTTGAAGCTGCGCGACCAGGTTGAAATGTGTCGCCTGGTTGCGGTTGCGGTTGCGCGCGCGAGCGGGTTGAAATGTGTCGCCTAGTTGCGAATCCGGTTGCAGTTGCGGGCTGACATGTGTCGCCTGGTTGCGGTTTGGTTGCGGTTGCGCGGACGGGTTGAACATCTCGCCTAGTTGCGGTTGCGGTTGCGGTTGCGCGAGCTGGTTGAAATGTGTCGCCTGGTTGCGGTTGCGGTTGCGGCTGCGCGGACGGGTAACAATGTGTCGCCTGCTTGCTTGTGCGGTTGCGTGCGCGGGCTGGTTGAAAGGTGTCGCCTGGTTACGGTTGCAGTTGAGGTTGCGAGGTCCGGTTGAGATTGCGCAGCTGGGTTGAAATGTGTCGCCTGGTTGCGGTTGCGGTTGCGGTTGCGCGGGCGGGTAAAAATGTGTCGCCTGCTTGCTTTTGCGGTTGCGGTTGCGCGGGCTGGTTGAAATGTGTCGCCTGGTTGCGGTTGCGGTTGTGCTGCCGGCTTGAAATGTGGTGCCAGGTTGCGGTTGCAGAGGCGCGCGGGCGGGTTGAAATGTGTCGCCTGGTTGCGGTTGTGGTTGCGGCTGCGCGGCCGGGTTGAAATGTGTCGCCTGGTTGCGAATCCGGTTGCGCGCGCGGGCGGGTTGAAATGTGTCGCCGGGTTGCAGTTGCGGTTGCGGTTGCGCGGGCGGGTTGAAATGTGTCGCCTGGTTGTGGTTGCGGCTGCGGTTGCGCGGGCGGGTTGAAATGTGTCGCCTGGTTGCGGTTGCGGTTGCCGCGGGCGGGTTGAAATGTGTCGCCGGGTTGCGGTTGCGGTTGCGGTTGCGCTTGAAATGTGTTGTCAGACGTGCCAATCAGTCAATCGACCGGTCAGTCACCGGCGAGCACGGAATTTCACCCGGCTCCGCCGGGAAAACTTTGATTCGCAATCCTCGAACCTCCAGCGCGCCAAAACTTCGATCCTCGAGCCTCGGTCCTCCTCTGGCCCCCGCCACCGGGAGCTCGCTGCGCTGGAGGACCTGGATGATGTCTTGCGCCTTCGAGGGAGGCCAAGAAGCAAGGGTAGCTAAGCGCGCGTCTCGCGCTGCGCGAAACGCAGACAACTTCGCGCTCTTGCGCCGCCTCCACCCTCTGTGAAAGAAGAGGCGGACGAGGAGAAGGAGGATGAGGAGTGGCGAATGGCGAGCTGCGTTTGGCTTCGCGCCCTCGCGGCGGTCTTGGCATCGAGGAAGGCCAAAAGGGGGGGAACTGGCTCAGAGGGGAGAGCTTTGACCCAGAATCGGCGATACCTCGGGCAGTCCGTCGGCGATGGTAGAGGAACAGAAAACGGAGGGACCCTAACCTTTCGGGCTCCGCGCGGATCTCTTGGCTCGGCGCTGCCCCCCACCACCCTCACTTGATGGGCCAAGCTGCCACCCCCACTACCGTGCAGGGGACGGGGGAGAAGGGAGGGCGTGGAGGTCCTCCTCCTCCTCCTCCTCCTCCTCCTCCTCCTCCTCCTCCTCCCTCCTCCTCCTCCTCCTCCTCCTCCTCCTCCTCCTCCTCCTCCTCCTCCTCCTCCTCCTCCTCCCTCTCCTGCCTAACACATGCTAGTGGTGATGGTGGAACATCGGCCCCTCTCACTGGCGCGCGGGCAGCCTCTCCTTCCTCCGGATGGGGCCCCCGAGAGCGACGCCCCAGGCTGCTGGGGCGGGGCGGGGCGCCCAGGCAGCCAAGGGCAGCGCATGGGCGATCCGGGGTCGGTGCGTCACCAAGGGCTGGTACAGGGCCGAAACCAGCTTTAAGCTAAAACAGTGAACGTCACTTCGAGCGTTGAGACTGTAACTAGATGATCGTCGCTCCAAACGTTTCCTTGAAACCGCTGTCCAGGTCCACATATACGGAAGTTCGACGAAGAAAGAAAGCTCCGAGGAAGCGCCCAATGTCCAATCCATGAACGCTCAAGCTTTTTCTTAAGATTTGTATGAATACAATAAAGACCCACGATAATGATGCAAGGGCCTTGGAAGGTTATGTCGACACTCTGCGGGCGGGGCGCGGCCAACGAAAGCGGCCAAGGATGGGCCGAAGGGGAAGGATGGAAGGGTAACCTTGAGAAGTCGCTCATCCTTAGTGTGCAGGTTGACCGTAAACATGGACTTTAGGAGGTACGCGCGGATTTCTCAGGTCGGCGGTAGGCCCTCTTCCCTGGCGTGCGGAGCGCGCCAAAGGCGTCCAACGCCGACATCAGACATCCGCACGGCCATCCCCGGGAAAGCTGGCACATGGATCACTCCGGGGAAACAAGCTATCTTCGACAGATGGTTGCGCTGCTTGAGGGAGGGGAGGAACCCCCTCCCCCTCCTCCTCCTCCTCCTCCTCCTCCTCCTCCTCCTCCTCCTCCTCCTCCTCCTCCTCCTCCTCCCCTCCTCTCTCCTCCTCCTCCGCCCTCCTCCTCCTCCGCCTCCTCCCCTCCTCCTCCTCCCCTCCTCCTCCTCCTCCCTCCTCCGCCTCCGCCTCCGCCTCCGCCTCCTCCTCCTCCTCCTCCTCCTCCGCCTCCGCCTCCGCCTCCGCCTCCGCCTCCGCCTCCGCCTCCGCCTCCGCCTCCGCCTCCGCCTCCGCCTCCTCCTCCTCCTCCTCCTCCTCGTCCTCGTTGCCTTGTTGCCTCCTCGGGACGGGGCCCCCAGAGGGGACCCCGCCATCATCCAGAGGTCCTCGCCACGGCTCACCCCGCAACGATGGGGCATTCCATCACCAGGGGAGCGGGGCCCAGCTCACGCGCCCACCCCTCGCGGACGGCGGAGCCAGGCAAGAGAACGAAAACTTCAGACCGCGAGTGCCGGAGAGGGAGGACCTCTAGGTCGCCATCTCTCCCCAGAACTCGGCGGGATCGAGCGTCTCCGCCGCCACCTCCAGCAACCCCTCCGCCCAGTCCACCCCCCGAAAGGCAAGAGGCACCGAGACGGGCGACGAGCGGCCGAGAAAGCGGCGAGAAGATGGGTCCTTGCCCTCCTTCAGGGCCCTGATGGAACGAAGACCCCACGCCGTGGGCGGCTGGCATGGCTCCCCGATCTTCAGGACCTGCTTAGCCCCGTGAGCTCCACATCGGGAGCACCAGGCCATTCCTCCCCGAAACCCACCCGCCCACCAGAGCTTATGAGACGGATGGGCGCGAGAGAGGGTGTCCGGGACGCCAGTGCAACGCCTGCTGATGAGCCTAGCTCGGGAGGCCGTCTCACGGCCGCACTGCAGACAGCACCAACGCCCATTCCGAAGCAGCTTGACATGGTGACCCCTCGGATCAGAAACTAAATCGCAAGGGTCCAGCACCCGTCGGATGCGGGGCCTCTCAACATCAGGAAACCCTGAGAGTTGCAGATGGTGGAGGACACGGCCCGTATAGTAGGCCACGTGTCGGGCCGCCCACCAAGCAAGACCCCGCCGATGCTCTAACTCGGGGTCCTGGTGGTGATGGGCGGCTCCTTTCTTAGCGAATTGATCAGCAAGATGATTGGACCTAGAATGAAGCCACGGGACTCCCCTAGCCTGAGCTTCCGCCCACGACTTGTGGGCAGGGGTCCACACAACATCCACGAGATCAAGCCCTACATCATCAAGTTTAAACCAAATCGCTTCCCAAACTTCTGAGTACAAGCGAATGGGCGCGCAGCAGCCGGCCCTCCCAAGCGCCAGGCCATCCAAGATAGCACGGCAATCGGTGACCACCGTGAGAGGAGCCTGACAATGACAGAGACACTGATAGAACGCCCAGAGCTCGGCGAGGCCAATCTCCTGAAGAGGAAGGGGGAGGGCCCCATAGATAGCTCCCTGGGACTGGCCGTGACGGTCGACCGAGGCGCAGGCCCACCCTCCACGGCTCCCAAATTTTAAGTCAGGAAACAAAACGGACCCATCAATACCGACGATCCCCGACAAGGCCCCACCTGTGAGAGCCCCATCGCGGTGAATACGGCCAGACTGATCCAGAGGAGGAAGGTGTCGAATTTCTGCGTCGGCCAGGCCAGGCGTCGGTCCTCCTCCTCCTCCTCCTCCTCCTCCTCCTCCTCCTCCTCCTCCTCCTCCTCCCCCTCCCCCTCCCCTCTCCTCCCTCCTTCCTCCTCCCTCCTCCCTCGTCCTTCGTCCCTCGTCCCTCGTCCCTGATCCCTCGTCCCTCGTCCCTCGTCCCTCGTCCCTCGTTCCCTCGTCCCTCCTCCTCCCTCCTCCCTCTCCCTCCTCCTCCCTCCCTCCTCCCTCCTCCTCCTCCTCCTCCTCCTCCTCCTCCTCCTCCTCCTTCTCCCTCCCCTCCTCCCTCCTCCTCCCTCCTCCCTCCTCCTCCTCCCTCCTCCCTCCTCCCCTCCTCCCTCCCTCCTCCTCCTCCTCCTCCCTCCTCCCTCCTCCTCCCTCCCTCCTCCTCCTCCTCCTCCTCCTCCTCCTCCTCCTCCTCCTCCTCCTCCTCCTCCTCCTCCTCCCCTCCTCCTCCTCCTCCTCCTCCTCCTCCTCCTCCTCCTCCTCCTCCTCCTCCTCCTCCTCCTCCTCCTCCTCCTCCTCCTCCCCTCCAACCTCCAACCTCCTCCCTCCTCCCTCCTCCCTCCTCCCTCCCTCCTCCCTCCTCCCTCCCTCCTCCTCCTCCCTCCTCCCTCCTCCTCCCTCCTCCCTCCTCCCTCCGCCTCCTCCTCCTCCTCCTCCTCCTCCTCCTCCTCAGGCACCTGTGCCACTGGGATTCCTCCCCAGAAAAACAGGCGGGTAGCAGCCCGATCGTCACCCTTGTTTGCCCGTAGGGGGCCAAGGGGAGAGAAAATTGCACCTCGTCGCCACACCTCGTCGCCACGCCTCTCCTTGCTTGGCCCTCCCGGTACTCCGCTGGGGCAAGGGTGGGAGGCGGGGTCCCCTGCGGGGGGCTCATTGGAGATCCACACCCATCCTTCCCACGGTCAGGGTTCCCCGCCCTGGCGTGCGTGGGGGGGTGCGGTCGCCCGGGGGAGTGGCGCCCCTCGGGTCGGCTTATTGGGGCGGCACGGCGGTGTCGATATTGGGGCTGGGCGCAGCTCGGAAGTTCGTGAGCTTAGGGGAGGGACTCGCTTTAGAGAGAACTCTTTGCTCCTTGGGGGGAGCGCGCGGGGAACAGAGGAACCCGCTCGCGCTTAGGGCGAACGTTCGCCCGTGCCGTCTCTCCCCCGCCCGTTCGAACACCGTTCGGGCCGGTTTTTTAATGCCACTCTTATGACTGTCGGGCTGCGTGCGCCTGCCGCTGCTGACCCGCCTCACCGCCCATTCCGCCCATTCCTCCTCCTCCTCCTCCTCCTCCTCCTCCTCCTCCTCCTCCTCCTCCTCCTCCCTCGTCGACGCCTGGTGGCCCTCGGGCCACAGCTCGGGCCTCCAGCCGCCGGCCAGCACCCTGGACAGAAGCCCTCGACGGGGCGCAGCGGACGCATCTCTCGAGAGCCTCCACGAACCGACGGAACCGTCCCGCGGCCCGGCCGCGACCTCACGTCTGGCCGAGAGAGGCGCGCGGAAAGATAGGAAGCAACCACCGGGAGGTCTTCGCCAGAAGGATGGGGGAGGCTCAAGCCTCATTTGGGGGCTGTTATGCTGGATTAGGTCGCGGGTTGACCGGGATTACGCCGGCTTGAGCGGGATGAACCGGGACTAAGCCAGAGTTCGGACCAGGGCGAAGTCAAAATTTGACCTCCCAGGAGTTGCATCACTCTTGTCGGGAAGCCCGAGAGCCGACGTGAGCTTCCTATCCGTGGAGGGGCCAGACCTCCGAAAGTCCGCTTTCGTCCCCGCGCCTTCTTGTCCTCCGAGGGGAGCAGCAAGGAATAGGCGACACCCTTGTTCCCCGCGCGCCCCGTGCGACCGATGCGGTGCACGTAGTCCTTCGCTGACGACAGCGGAAACGATGACGACGGCGGCGACGAAGACGGCAGGCCCGAGCTGGATCGAATCGCGAAATGGGATCGGACCCGAAACGAGGCGCATTTCGCCAGCCAATCGCCCCGACTCGAATCAAGATCGGATCGCCGCGCCTGGCTCCAGCCAGCCCCAGCTGGTTCCGGTGAGCCGAACCGACTCGCACGGCATCGCAATCGCGGCCCCAGCCAGCGAATCGAATCGGACCGCAGGCGGCCCTGGGCAGTGACGCCGACGGCGACTGACGGCGGCGGCGACGACTGCGGCGACGACGACGACGTAGGTGACACGGTGGACTCAGACTCCTCTGGAAGCTTGTGGAAAGCCAAGCTCCCAAGGGGAGTCTAGAACCACGGGCGTCCGAAGCCTCTCTTGGGGGCTTCGTGGCGCTTCCCTCGAGCGCATTTCCGGGAAATATTGGCTTCTTGGGAGCCTTTTGGAATCTCTTGGCGCACTTTTGGCTTGGCTTTTCGGAATGTCTTCGGATCATGTTCAAGTGTGAGACGCTCTTTGGGCTTTGTTGGGACTGTCTTGGGCACCCTCCTCTTGGGCACCCTCCAGCCTTCTGGGGTCACCTGGAGCTCTCCCAAGAGATCGACAGTTCAGCGTTGCAGCACATTTGGCCTCTCTCTCTCTCTCTCTCGCAAACCTTGATGGGCCCAAGCCCAATCGGTGGCCGTGAGCCGGGGACCTCTGTGATCGAGCCCACCCACAATGAGCGGTGGCCCCTGGCCAGCAGGACCTCGACGAGGCGACGCTCCTCGCAAACGCGCCCGGCCAGACCGGGCCTTAAGGTGACTGCCGGCCGCGGCCCAGCACGCGCCGGGCCGTGCGTTGTGGCGGCCGGGCTCGTGCTCGCAGCCACCCGACCACCCTCTCTTCCGCGCGCGGCCCCAGGAGGTCCCGGCCCCTTCCCCAGGGGCAGCTGTCCGTCCCGGATCCACGTCTTGTGGCCCCCCCGGGAGCCCGACAACGGCCCCCTGGAGGCCGAGGTCGAGGAAAAGCCTCGGGGCGGAACGCGCTGGCCGCAGCTCCGTCCGGGCTTGCAGCCTTCGCGGGGGGGCAGAGCGGGGCACCATCCAAAAGGCGCTGTGGGGACCTCATGGGCTCGAGGGGGGCACTGGGGCCCTCATGGCGTGGGGGCAGTTGCGGGCGCTCTGGGGTCACCCGATCGGGGCCGGCTGCCAGCCCCCCTCCCCGTGCCTCCTCGTGCTGCCGCAGGAGGCTACCCCCTCTCCATCCATGCTGCTGGGAAGAAGAGAAACTGCGTAAACATGAGGCAGGCTCGTGTCGTGCTGACTGCGGCGTCGGTATCTGACGCCGCGGGGGTCGCTCCACCTTGAAGGAGCGGCCGTTTCCGAAACGAAAGCTCGTTCAACATCGACCGATTCCAGGTCGCTGGCGGCGTTCAACGTTGAACGCCGGCGGCGGGGTCGCCGCCGGTCGACACGACGCGAACCTACCGTACACATTCGAAGCTCCCCAAATGTGTGTTTACGTTTTACGTTAGTTTTATTCCTGTTCAAGCTCCGCCTCCTCATCTGCGCTGCTCCACATCCACCGACTCACACTGACTCTGGCTTCCTCATGGGGTCCGAGTAGATGGGGTTGGAGGATCGCGCCTCGTCGCCAATTCATCGCCGATGCAGCGGCGACGCGTCGGCGATGCATCGGCGCCGCCGGTGTGAACAAAATTGGGCTACACATCGAACCGCATCGCCGATGCATCGGCGATGCGGCGCGACCCTCAGACCCCGTCTGCTCTGACCCTGTCTGGGAGGCCTAGAACCTTCCCTGTCTACCTCTCTCCATCCCTCTCCTCCCTGCGTGCAGAGACACATTCTGGCGGACGCGTCAAGGAACGCGCTGGGCTTCATGCTCACGCAACGGAGGGGAACCCGTGGGCGGGAAACACATCCGTACCCGCGGCCTCGCGGGCTGGGCCTCTAGCCCACGAGGCCGCGGATATGGGGCCTTTTCTCACGGATGCCCCGCGCGGATCGCATCCATGCGACCGCGTGTCCACGGGATCGCGCCCCAGAATCTAGACCGCAAACAGGTGGCGACATTCGAACCCTACACCCAGCAGCCATCAATCCTCCTGAATCGATGGGACGCTTTGGCAGGGCTCGGACTTCGCCACGTGTTCGACGAACTCCGAACCCTACCCCCGCCACCCATCGAGGTGCCCCGCCGAGACGAGGAGGAGGAGGAGGAGGAGGAGGAGGAGGATCACCTGAAAGGATTACCCGAGAAGCACCAGTCGTGCTATGAGGAGGGCGAGGAGGTGGAGGGAGGAGGAGGAGGAGGACGAGGAGGCGCCAGCGAGCGAGCGAGCGAGCCGCCCGTGCCGCCGCCCGTCGAGCTGCCCGAATCGTCGAGGGCCAGGGCTCGGACGCCGCCGCCGAGCGAGGGCGCGGGGACGTGGCCGTGCCCAGCGCTCGTTGAGGCCCCGGAGGCGGGCCCCGTGGGCCCTGCGGAGCAGCGAGGCCGCCACCTCGGGCGGGCGGCAACAAGTAGGGCGACGAGATCTATGCATATCCACTGCTCTTGGCCAGGCCCATCCTGGGCCCAGGAGCGGTGTATATGCCTCCCTGGCCAAGCCAGGAGGGCGTATACACAGCTCCTGGGCCCAGGATTGGTCTGGCCAGGAGCAGTGGATATGTATAGATATCGTCGCCCTAACAAGGGGGTGGCCTGAACGGGGGGTCGAGAGAAGTGCCGTCCAGGAGCCCTTTGCAGTAGCAGGGCCCATGCTGGTGCCAGCAGGGGCCCAGAGGAGCCGCAGATGGGCCCCAGAGGGCCCTTTCCTTCACCCCCCATGCGGGTCATGCCCCATTGCCACCACCGCGAGGCAGGGTCATGCAGCATCGAATCCGCAAATCGGATCGAATCGAAATGTGCATCTTCGGTGGCAACTCATGGGAGCCTCCCATACCACCTTGCTGGCTCTCGCGAACCGACGCCGATCCACGCTATCTCATCGATTGCCCGACGCTGATCGAGTCGAATGCATGCTCGAGAAGGAATTGCGATGGAATGCAAGGCTCCCATGGTTTGCTACCGAACGCATCGCAGTGGGCTGCATCGGCGCACTATCGAACTCGAATCGGATCTGATGCGCAAGGTGCACAACAGTACACCCTGCGAAATGCTCAAGAAATCATGGGTTAAGAAATTCATAGTCTCAGAACTTGAATAAAAACCGAGAATTTCTATCAAAATCTTGGGATTTACACTGAAACGTTAAGAATAATCGAGACTCTGGACGAAAACTTACGTTTTCTTAAGCATCGCCTAAGGTGCACCGTGCAAACATCAGGCCGCCTCGGACCTAGGCATCCGCCGCGATGTGATCTCTTCCATCCGCGGCTCCAGAGTCCAGAGGTCCCTCCTCCTCCTCCTCCTCCTCCTCCTCCTCCTCCTCCGTTCCGTGATGTTTTTCGTCCCGGATCCATGTTGATGGCCCCCGTGCCCGATCACGGGTCCCGGAGGTCGAAATCCAGCAAAGAACGCCGGAACTGAAACAATCATATCCTCGGATCTCTGGGTAGCGGAATCGAATCGGATCGAACCAGCCGAAATCGATATCGAATCGATCGGATCGAACCGCACTCTGGAGCGGGCTGATGGCCTCGGGCTGGGGGCGGCCCCAGAGCTCTGGCGGGCTCCCCTGAGCTGGCGCCACCATTGGCCTTCGGGGTCTTTTGTGGCCGTTTCGAAGGCCTCTTGGCTGGCTACCCAGGCCCCCGACAGTGTTTTTTCCACAACGTTGACCCCATCAGGTCTCGACCCCTTCCCCGACACCGGTCTCTCATCATGACTAGCTTTTGCACGGTCCCGAGGCCCGGTTCGAAGCCCCGCGAGGCCGGAAATCGAGAAACCTCTCGCGTCGTGTTTTTTCATGACTCGAGGGGGTCTGAGTACAGTAGGTGCTCGACCACAAGAAACCTTTCACAAAACAACCAAACCTGAGACCACAGGACGTCCATTGATTTTTGGTGTGTGAACATCACGCTTTCCATAGCAAAACTATCGAAATCCAAGAAACCCAGGGCACCCTGGAGGCAGCAGGGCGTTTCTTGGCATGGGCTTCCACTGTAAGGAACCCTCTTGTTGGGGGCTCGCTTTGGGCTCGCTGGAGAGCGCTGATGGGCACGCAGGGGCGACGTCCTGGTAGGTCCTCCCCGGGATCTCCCAGGGCATCCTGGGAGCCTCAGCGACTCTCTTGGGGCAAACTGGGCCATCTTGGCAGTCTCGGAGGCGTATCGGGCCTCTGGGGGCCATTCTGGAAGCCTCTCCTGGGTTTCCCCACCCCGCCCCGCGCTGTTTTGGAGGAGGAACCGGAGGAGGGCGCACACCACGACGGCAGCGCCGCAGCCCACTGAGCGTTCCTCTTCAAATGTGCAGCCGACTATATATATATGTAAGACTGGGGGAAAGCTGCCATGCAAACTGTCAGCACACAGAGGGTCTAGCTCGTCGTGATCGGGGTGGCAGAGTGAGGTGGTCCGACGGAAGAGGAATGCAGACATACTCCCTAGCTTGATGCCGCCCGCAGGACGAGGAGGCGAACCGAGCCTGTGCAAACCTCTCGGAGCGCAGAGTGTGAAGGTAGGCAGCGGAGATCATCCGCTGCAGAGGTGGGAGTTCTAAGAGCACGAGACCATGACACCATGCTGGGATTTCGCCAGTCAAAGACACGAAACGTGTTCTTCGAGCTCTGGCCGCGTCACGAAATCGTGCATGGGGAAAGACATCTGGCAGCATCTGTGGAACAGTGACCCTGGGCAAGAGTGACATCTGGTGCGTGGCCTGCCGATCGACGCACGCGATGCGACAGCATCCCGCGTGCTTGGAGTTGGCCCACCCGCGTCCCCCGACGGCAGTGCACCCGAGGTCGCTCCAGCGGCAGGTCAACTGGTCGAGTCCTAGCATTGGGGTAAAACCACCCGCAGAAACGGTC